TTCACTAAGCTCAGTTCTAGTAATACATGGCTCTTTAATGGAAACGAAAGAACGCCTGTTCCCTGTTTACACTCACAAACAACATGTGGTGTCTTCTGTGTAACATAGTTGGAGATGTTCTGCTGTTGCCATGGAGATGAGGAAACCTGTGATTCAGTTGTCAAGGCATTTCATTACAATCCAGTGTATAGCATCTAAAGGCTTTTTTCTCCACAGAGAAATTTTGGTTCAAGTACTAACAATGTTTTCTGTCAAAGGTCATTTCTGTAATTGATCATGCTGAACTGTGTGGTTTTGGGTTCTGTGGCCTCCTCTGAGGTATATTATTAAAGCTGAGGCCCGCTAGGTGTGTGTGGTCTGTATTTGGCAAGTCTGCACTGAGGTTTTTTCTGTAGTAGATGAGTGACAATGGGAGATGTTTGCCCGTATGAGTTGTTGTTTAATGGGGATTTTCTGAGTGATGCCAAACCTACTGCTGACTCATTTCACCTGTCTAACACCTAACACTATATCTATCACCATCACTGACTCATCCTGTGTGCCTGAACAACTGCAGTAATGTGTGTATTTTGAATCCCCTTGCCACCTGGACAGTACCTGCTCTCCCTATCAGTGTGAGCGCTTTCTAGAATTTGCCCTGATCTGGAACCAGTTTCCATTAACATCCTAATCTTGAACAAAGTTGGAACTGGTTTGAGATCAGTGCCAGAGGCCAACCCCAGCAGCTTGTGTGAATCAGTGCAAGTGTGGTGACTCCACTTTGAGCCCCATCAGCGAGGGAGGCAGCTGCGCGCTGGAAGCCGCAGAGGAACCGACGGAGTTCCTCAAACTGCTCTGGTGGTGGGACGAGGCCACTGCAGGGCGGATGAGTGGGGGTGGAGGGTGGTTGTGTGGAGTTCGGGTCTGGAGGGGGCGCGTTTGAAGAGGAGGAGGCTGGCGCAACAGGCTTGGGGGTGCACTGGGGGGAGTCGGGCGTAGTAAGGGTGGGGGTTGGGTAAGCGGGGGAGAAGACTGGCTGGCATTACTGGCTACTTCAGAGGAAGGCGCTGGACTGCCAGAGTCTGCAGGGGACACGCTGTCCCTCTTAGTCTGCATAGAACACAAGGATATTATCCATCAGGAAAAATACAACTAAACAAAACATTCACATTAAAAGGTACAGGACATCTAGGAACATTTTTTTTTAATATAAACTATTTTGACGTTTTTACATTTCCCATGTCCCATTATCCTGCCTCACCTCATCCTCTTCCACTCCTGCTGTTCCGTTCAGGTCCTTCACAGTCTCGCTGTTCCCCCGCAGCACTTCCTGTTCTGCCTGCCATTCTCGCAGCACTTCCTCCAGATTGAAGCGGCGGCGGTAGCTGACGAAGAATGAGCTCACCTGACCCGCAGTCTTGTTCCCAATCACGTCAGCAATGGCGGCAAAGTCTTTACCGTATCGTCTGATAGCTTCACAAGGCAAACCCACAACATTAAACTACATACATCTAAAACAACAACAACTTAAGATAATTATTCATTAATAATACTGTATGCATATGCATTTATCTGTGGTATCAAGTCCAAGAACACTGACACCCAGGGTAATCAAATGGTGCTGCATCTGGGACACTAGAAATTCTTTACTTGCCAATATTTTCATTTGCTAACAACTAAATTAATAGATTTTTCTTAATCTGCAAATATTGTCAAGTAGCAGGGAAAGTAATGATAATCTGACTTACCCTGTACAGCCAGGAGCTGCTCCTCTGTAGTCCAGCGAGAGTTAATCTTAAGAGTGGGCTGAAAGAGTACATAATGATTAAGTTTACGCAAATGCAGTTTGCTGAGGACTTCTGTTTACATTTCAGTAACATTCCTCAAAAATGACTAAAATATCTTTGCATATGTGATACTATAGACACATTTCCCTGTATGAAAGAGAAACACTAATTATGGAAGTCTAAGGGCAATTGTTGGAGCAGTCAGTAACATTTATGCAAAACATTTTGTAGAACACTTTATTCACAAATGTTTTTATTCACAAATGCTTCTTGACTGAATTCAACAAACTCCCTTCAGACTACCATTATTAGGGTTTTGAATAGTGAGGTATTCCGTTTTCACATTACAAGGAAGCATGTTTCTTGTCCAGGAAATTGAGCATACGCTCCAGATGCAATAGATGGAGATCTAGGTCAGGAAAAAAACTGGAATATTCCTCCAACATATAATTTTTGGCAAAGATTGTTCATTCCTCTATCCATCCACCATTATTATTATCACACTTGCTTCAGAAATAATCAGACTGCTAATGAAATTGAGTATAGTTAAAATATAGCAAAATATCTGATGAGATAGTGAGTGTATAGAAATAACTGACTGTACCTCAGTTGGTCTCATGGCATCAACACCATCTGCCAAACTCCGTTTGAGGACACTGTTTGCTTGCTTGATACTTTGAACCTGCATGGGGATTGGTAAAGTTTGTCTTGTGATTAATTCTGGTCTGTATAAATCCATATCAAATATTGCAATGTGTGTGTGCGCACACACACCATCATGCAATCATTACCTGTCTCTTGAGAGACACTAGCTGAGTGTCGAGTTGGCGGTTGGAGATGGTTCCTGACTCAGTGGAAGCCGACAGGGCGACGATGTCATCCTGATCCAGATGCATGCCTTTTGGAGGTCTGCGGCGTGCCCTCAGTGGATGGTGACGGTACTGAGCCCCCTGGTTCTCTTTGCGTGTAGGGGCTGACCTCCCAGAGCTCCTCTCACTGCCTCCTCCAGCACCAGAGCTCAGCTTGGACTGAATGAGAGAATACATTTTAAAACACTAATATTTAACAGGAATAATTTCTTATGATTAGTGGTCACAACACATCATTACTCAGGTTTTCATAGATATTCTTAACCAGCAACCAAAAAAAGGCTAATAAATTAATAAAACCTATTTGTGAATTGGTGGTGTAGTGCATCAAGAAAACACTGACTGGTCGAGCACGGAAGTGCATGCCTTAGCATTAGGTTTGGGATGTGACAAATAACACTTAATCCAAACAAGAACTAGCACAAGCACAAGCATGTTAGAGTATTTTACTATAACCTTTTGTACAATCTGTCTTCAAAGCATTACTAAAAACACTGACGTGAAAATGAATTCTTGGAGGAAGATATTCAAAAAGCTTCAGTGAAAAATATTAAAACACAACCGTGTTAATAAAGGCATCACAAGACTCATTTCATTGTAAAATTGGCAAAAATTATCCTCAAGTACAGTGTAATGGAATACATTTCTCATTAGATAAAGAGAATTACGTGCAAGTGTGTCAGGCAGATACCTATGCAAATGTCTATACACAACACCCGCACACGCTGGCAGATTCACAGACTCAGGTATGAATCAGCTCTAACTTGGCTAGACTGTAATGGTTAACTTTGGTATATCTGTTATTTTAAAAATGTCCTTTACATCTAAAGTGTCAATATGCCTTTTTATAGCCTTACTAAACAACCCTAATATTAGATCATATCTGGTTGGTAAGGGGAACACTACATTTTCATAACTAAGCAATCTGAGTTTATGCCTCACCTCTTTCTTTGTGTCGATCTCAAAGTCACTGTCACTTCCCGGGTCTCCTTCTTCCATCTCGTCATTACTAACAGGGAGACATTGCAAGGTTAAGTAATGCTTCAGAGGACACTCATGGTTTTTTGCATTCTTTTGTGCTTCCCTTTTGGTTTTTCCAACCGTCTCACCTGTCCTCTTTCTCTCTCTTGCTAACGAGTTTGCGGGCCTGCCGGTCCATGACACTGGTGCGAGTCCGAGTCTTCTTCCAGGAGTAGTAGTACTTTACCAGACTGGAGATCAACTTATCTGGCAGCTGAGAAATAATAAAAATTACATCAATATCAGTGCACTATGGAGAATCTTAATTACATTAACATATAATTACTTATAGGCTTGGCTACACATTTACAGCTCAGATCAGCTGCCTGACCTGCAATGCCCATTAAATCAAAATCAGTGTTAAGAGCTTTTTGTGCGAGTGTCTTTGCATTGCGGACAATATGTCAGTATATACTGGAAAAAAAAAGACAAAAAATGTGTGTATCATATTCTAATATGATGGGAAAAAAATGATGAATCATACTGTTCTTGTTCAGTCTGTGTCCAATCAAATGCTTTCTAGAATGCCTATGTCCCACCCCTGTAAATAAACTGAGAGTAGTGCATTATAGTAGCAGTTAGTATGGGTCATTCATGTAGTTTTGGTCATGCAGCTTCCTGCACATTATTCCCCTTTCAAACCACCTCTTGTGTGTTCAAATGTTGGTTGTAGCTTGTGCGCTCATCTGCAATCTTGATCTTGGCTTAAACATGGAAGACTTTAGTTCAAAAGCACTGGCTGTGATGCTATGATAGATTTGGAAGGGCGTGCTTGTGCATGTGCACAAGAGGTCTTTTCTCAGTTTTTATTATACAGCCTCGTGTTAAACAGCAGTCTTACCCCCCTCCCTATCAGGAAGCCACTTTCTCTTGTTGTTGTAGTGGGCTTATCACGGGGAAACGGTAAAAGACTGGTGCAGGCCGGTAACAAAACATGACATGATAAACACGACTAAGTTCCAACGGGTAAACTGGTGGTGAGAAATCCTACACAGTTTGAAAATAAGCTCTCTCAGTTGCATTATTTTGTCTGTTTGCTAAGCATGATGTTGCACATCTTGAATGCTATGGAAGTCAGGAAAGCCCTTTGACACTACTTTAAAGAGCTGTAGTGAGGAAGCACTTCCTGTTTCAAAAGGAAATACTTCAATATACAGAATTAAATTAGATTAGATTCAACTTTATTGTCATTGTGCAGAGTACGAGTACAGAGCCAATGAAATGCAGTTTTCGCATATCCCAGCTTGTTTTGAAGCTGGGGTCAGAGCGCAGGGTCAGCCATGATACGGCGCCCCTGGATCAGATGTGGTTAAGGGCCTTGCTCAAGTGTCCAACAGCAGCAGCTTGACAGTGCTGGGGTTTGAACCCCCAACCTTCTGATCAGTAACCCAGAGCCTTAACTGTTCAGCCACCACTGCCACAATCACCTTTCTCTAACCATTTTAAGGCCACTTTAAAACTCTAGGGAACTTTAAAGAGCTACCTGACAAAATATATGTAATAAAGATAATAGAAAACTATAAAATAATTAATTATTCTTAATAGTGGACCATAGGTCCTATTGAGTACTTGAATACTTGTCTGTATGACTCTGTTGGACTGAATTGGATTCTCTGGTAGGCTATAAATCCGCCTCTCTCCTGAAGCAGCAAGCAGATGGGAGCACTATAGATTATACAAGCCATCTTCTCTTCCTCTTCTCCTTGCTATTCCCACTCTCTCACCTTCACTTTCTCCCCTGTACTCTCATACGCTCTCACTTACCATCTGCTGGATGCGGTGGAAACTCTTGCCGTGGAAGCTGAACGCCTGCTCAAACAGCACCTTGTCCTCCACAGTCCACTCATCGGGAAAGGGCGTGAAGTTGGCCAGGTCAGCCAGGGACTTCTCCACATCATGCTTGTGCCAGAGCAGCATGCCCAAAGACTAAAGAAGTGATAAGATTTGTGCATCAAAGTTCAAGTTTGCTATAGTCTACTAAAAGAAGTGCTCCAGCCTTTTCCCTACTGTAGCATATGTGATTAGCAGACAAGAATGGACATGTTTCCCTTTCCTGAGAGAATGATGGAAAACCCATTTACTCAGAAAACACTTCTAAGGCACGCTGTTCAGGCAGAATAAACATTTATGAGAAAACGGTATTTTACTAGACTGCTCTCGTAATTCTTCAAATGGATTTGCAAATTAAGCTCTAAATCTGTATAATTCATCATTTTCCCAAGATGAATACCTTTTCAGAGGGCGAATTTGTGGTTATGCCTTACTGATATAGACACTGTAGCTCAATATAATCACAGGAGTACCGATAACTGTAAGCCTAAGCAACCAGAATTGCTTATTACTGCAACGTACCGGTGTTCCAATGTGCAAGAGTTGTAGGTTTATATTTGCATTATACGGTCACATCATTTAAACACTTATTGATGGAATTTAACACCTGCCCTTAGGCTTCCATTACAAGTGAGTTTCAGTTTTCTACTCTTTTCTCTGCACAGTGAAAAGTCTTGTGTGTAGTAATTTTCCACAGGCCATAGACGGGCTGGATAGAGATCATGTTGGAAATAGTGCTGGAGTAGTCCTTTAAGCTGTGGTTTGGCATACCTGTTCCATATTATATCCATGCTTCTCTTTGGCCATTAAGATGTACTCATCCACTGTTAAGGACAGAATAAAAATGTTCAATGTCTGCTGAGATCAGTTGGTATTAATAGTCACACAATCCGAGCAGCTTCTCAGATTAACAAGTCTGATTTACATTAAGCATTTCCCAGTAGGTTTACATATAAACCAATTTTCAGTGCTGTCAGTTATTATGATCTACACCATGTTTAGCATTAGCTGGAAATAGTAAGCAGTTTACAAGATCACTAATAAAGTCTCACTTCTCCCCATAATATAATAAACATTTACTTGGAATGGCACTTACATGGGATGTCTGTTTTATGATACAGTGCAATTCTTTTCCAATACCATAACAGTTTATAGAAATCTTTGGACTCAACACTTACACATTGCATCAGACACTTGGCTGTTGGGTGACCACACAAGCATGCTTCTCTGGTCTTTCTCACTGTAGTCAGGCTCAAGCTCTGTCAAGGTAGGACACACATCAGTCACACTTCTATTTCACTCATACACCGCACTGAAGCTCAACATATCCATCTACTGTGCCACATGGCTCATCATTTAAGATGATCTAAGCTTGTTCACACAAAAAATATTAGTAGACATCTGGCATTAGATCTGGGTTTCCATGAGACTTAACTGTTGTGTCCCTCAACAGGCATAACAAACAAAAAGTGAGTCAAAGAATTTGTTTAGTTTCTGTTATTTCATAAAAATCAGTTACATGATCAACTCTATAGGAATTAGTTTTTCTATTGCTACCAATGTGCAGCATAGATCTGACAAGAATTTCAACACATTTTCCTGTACTGAGAAAAGAATAGAGAATGTGTTTACTCCAAACTCACTTATATAATGTTGACACATGTAACTGATATGATATTGTGTGCTTGACATTGTTTAAATAAGTCAGAAGAAAATGATTTAAAATATACTGCTTTCATGCAGGTATTCTCACTCTCCTTCACAAAGTCTCTTCATGCTTAACATTCTGTTTTCATAATTTTCACCTCGTCATTTTCTAAAACAGCTTCTTCTTCTCTAACATTTTTGCTAGCAGGCCACTTCAAACCTTCCCCTAAACATCTTTATTTCTTACTCATCTTTACTTGTGGACCTATAAATACCCATCTCAGGCTCCGAATAGACAGTACAATAGACTTTCCAACTGGACCTCAAAATATTTGGTAATAGGAATGACTACTCTCTTACACGAACACATTTCCTCTTACCTGGATTGTACTCTGGGATCTGTGCCTGGTAGTCTGCACCCACACGAATCATGCTGTCTACAAGATAAAGAACACTGTAAGGAAGAGTTTGCTAGTCACACAAAGGGCAGTAGGAGAGATGTGGGTGGAAGAAAGAACGAGAAGGAAGCCTAAATAAAGCTGGACCAGCATCCGGTTACAGAATCAGACCAGTGTAAGACAAGAAGAAGTTGAAGAGTATGTTAAGAAATGCTGAAAAATATATATATACAATTAATAAAGCATTAGGTGCTTTATTACTAGGTTTAATAGGTTTGTGTGTGTGGGTTTGGTTGGTAGAGGCCTACCATGTGAATGTTCTTCATCACTGCTCTCCTCATCAGTGTGCTGACTGTTGCCATTGGTTGCTGTTTTTGCCCTGCTGCGGGACAGAACTCCAGATCCTGAGCGCTCCATCACTGACGGCATGGCTGCCATGAGTAAACATAAGAAAGACACTTTTTAAATATTGGGATGGCCAATATACTGCATTTACCAAAATAACAGCGGGCAGCGTGGTAGTGCAGTAGGTAACGCTGCTGCCTCTCAGCTCCAGGATCGATCCCGAGCTCAGTTTGGTGTCTATGTGAAATTCTGCATGTTCTCCCTGTATCCCAAAAGCATGCTTGTAGGTGGACTGGCTGCTCTGAATTACTCCTAGGTCTGAATGTGTGTGGATTGGATCGACATCCCATACCCAGTGTTACCAATATATGCTCTGGACCCACCGCTTCCCTGACCAGAATAAGGCATTTACTAAAATTCACCAGTCTTTATAGCAGACTACGTAAACAAATACTAACAAAATGAAAAGATTCTGCATTTTTTTTCCAGGTCCAAACTTTGAGATTTGTGGGCTTTCCATGAAAACAACCCTTAGGCTTTGAAAAGGTGAGAAGGTTTGCGTTTTAGTTTCTTCACAGCATGAAATTAAAAATGGCCAGATAACCCGAGGAAGCTTAAGGAGTGTGATCAGTGAAGTCAGGGTGAGATGAGAAGAGAATAGATGAGAATAGATGAGAAGAGATGAGAAGAGAGGAGATGTAGTGGTCAATGTGAGTGCACTTCCGCTCCGCTCCTGCTGCTCATGTTCCTCTCTGAGGCCTTTTGTCTACCAGGAGCTGCGCTTTTAAAGCCACACAAAGTAACCGACCCACACAGCTGAGCAACTCAACATTAGTCTATTAACACTCAAACACACACCTTCAGCACAGATTTAAAGCACAAGCCACTGAATTTCGCTGGAGAAAAAGCGTTTCTCGCGCCGGTGGTTGTTTGAGAGGAGCTCAGCTCCACTCATTGTCATGGCTCAGCTTCCAAACCGCGTTTACAGGATGCACTCACAGTGCCCTACTTTAACTAATAAACCTGCAGAACACGGCTTTAATGCTGACACAAGTCATGTAGAATGGCTTTCACAACTTCATAATTTAATTAGGGCTGCTTTCGAGGTAAAGTCCTTTAAGTAGTCTTAAACAGTTTTTTTTTGGCGTAGTCCAACATTAAAAGCATTTGCCATTTATTGATTAATGCATAAGCTATATAAATAAAGTTATTTGATGTATTAAGTCATTTATCACCAACTAGAACGAGCAAATAACCTCAGTTTGTAGGCTAATAAATCACTTTGCAAATTGTCAATTGCCTGGAGCTGTGACGTCACGCCCGGTAGTCGGTTTTAATTGCGCTATTTTCATCGAACATGGCCTGTCTAGTACATTATATATATATTTATATGTTACGAGGTTTAATTCTATATCACAAGCAATATATCTTGAGGAAGATTGTCAGGTTGGCTTTCTCACTTTGAGCAGAACTCCTCTGAGAAGTCACCTCGTTAATTTCCGAGCTGGTTCTCTCGTCCCCTTGTTCATTAAACATAAGGCTATTAACTCCACACGGCTCCGGAGCGGCCACTAACACACACGCTCCAATTTACACTGAGTGAGTGCAGGATGGGGGGAAAATCACCTTTCTTTTGTCTCGCCTCACTTTTGGCCCTGTTCGTCTCTCAAGTCGGGGTTCTTTTGTGTAAAACCACGCTTTAGGTCCTCCAGCTTCAGTTGGTAGCTAGTAGCTGTCGTTCAACATTTGTGTTAGTTGCCAACCGGGAAAGCAGTTTCACACCTGGCTAGCTTAATCTCTCTGCTACTGAAACTTCATCAGCGATGCACTGGTCGTCTAACACCGCACTACAGAGCACGCACTGGATATTAAGAAACCAAACAACTAGTTAAATCCTCGATGAATATTCACTCGAGTCTCTCTCTCTCTCTCTCTCTCTCTCTTTCTCTCTCTCTCTCTCTCTCTCCCGTCCAACGGTATCGACTGCATGGAGATCCTCTCCGTGTGTGTGTGTGTGTGTGTGTGTGTATGTGCCGGGGTGGAGGGGGGGGAAGCCACACCACACCCCACTCAACCATACAAGCCTTCCGCCTTCCTCGCCTCTCCCCAACTAACTTCGATGTCAGTTGTATAGTTCCATTTACCGGCACATACAGTCAAAGTATATCGATGTCAGCCTCCAAAGCAGTGTCCATACTG